CCCTTTAAAGGAACCCCCCCCCCCCCAAAGCCTTATTCTCATTATTATAAGGCCCCTAAACCCTAAACCCTTATAGTAGCCCCTATAGAACCCTTTAAGGAGCCCTTTCAACGAACCCTCCCCCGCCCCCCAAAGTATGCTCCTTATTACAAGGCCCCTAAGCCCCGAAGCGGAGGCTTTGGGTTGCTGGTTTAGGGTTTAGGGTTTAGGGTGTAGGGTTTAGGGTCAGGATAAAGCCTGGTTTAGGGTGGGTTTAGGGTTTAGGGGTTTAGGGTTGGAGCAAGCAGCCCTAGCAGTGGAAAGCCTGTTGCAAAAGGGGTTTAGGGTTGAGGGGTTGAGGGGTTTAGGGTTTAGGGTTTATGGTGAGTGTGGTATGTAAATAATTTTCTCAGCTCGCTCAAAGTACTTGCAACTTCGCTTCTGCCTTCCCATGAGTCTTCAAGTAGGGCTTGGGTTCCGCTTTGCCGATATGCTGTACCTACCCCCACAAGCCTTTTTCCATCTTCTGGGGTCACAGAGGTTTTGCCAATGCGACATGATCCCTACACCACCTGCTCGGGTCGCAGCACTCAACACCTCTTTCCCAATTTCGGTACTTCAGGGCCGAGGATCCAGGCTCTCTGATATAGATATACAAAGGGGGCGATCGGCTTTTGGGTGATTAGGTGCGATGGCGGCCGTGCGCTCGAAATTACGAACTTCTGCATGCAGCCAGTGTGGAATAGTACTGCTTGATTCAACGAAGTAGGGTCCACTGAACATCTCTCGCATAAACAGAGCATGTGGCACGGTTTTTGGCAAGACTAAACGCCCTTATTGCACGAAGGCACTATCAAAAGTTTGTTCAGCTCATTTTTACAGGCAAGTCTTGCCATTCGAATCAGTTCAGGCGCGAAGTATGAGTGTTGCATGTTCGGCATTACAAGCAGTAGTTCTGCGGCTAGGCCCTTTCTGCTCGGTGTTTGGTCTGCCTTTCGTGATTCACCTTGCTGCTGTTGGTTTGCGGTCCACCCTAAGCCATTGTGCCTTGTGAACAAATCCCTCTCGCTACAGGCGCGGCCTCACCATCAAATCCACAAGCGGCATTGTCAACATCACGGGAGAGCGGCTTCAGCTGAAGGGTGCAACATCGGGCCTCAATTAGCCCAGGGTCTTTCTGCGACTATTGCTGCTAGTCACGCAGGTGCTGCTGATAGTCCTACTCCCCTCACTCATGCTCACGACAGCATGAGCGTCTTCTCCCTGTCCAAATTCTTCTCTCACTCCTACTAAGACGTTCGCGACATCGACCACCGCCGCGGCCACCACCGCCACCACCACCGCCACCACCACCACCACCACCACCACCAACACCACCACCATAACAGCAACAACAGAAGCAGCCACAGTAACAGCAAGAGCAACACCTGCACCAACAACAGCAATCATAACTGCAACGGCAACGGCAACACCACTACCACCGCCGCCACCAACAATGCCAACACCAACAACAGTTCGGACAGCAACCGTAACAGGAACAGCAACTCCGACGAAGAGGAAGACAACGACCGCCACCACCATAACTGCTGATCATCATGCTCATGCTGCTGCTGCCACTTTAGCAGTCTTTTACTTACAGCTGGTGCTTCTCCTCCTTCCCTTGGCAGTCGCATCCTGCTATTTCTGGCTCCAGCATCAATCATCTGCTATTTTTCCTTCTGCGAAACTTGTAGTGGCTATGCCGACGTTGGTGTGATAGCAAGCAATGTTGTGGAAGTTATTGCTTCGTGTCGAAGCATTATACACCGCAGTTCCTCGAATAGGGGGGTCCTTGATTCAGGGGTTTGGGGTTTCCAATTACAAAGCGACAAGCAGACCGACAATTCAGCGTCCTTTGGTTTGCATCTAAGCAGTATCTTTGGTCAACCCCGAACCCCTAAACCCAAAGGCCCGGAACCCCTTCATGAGCAATCGTGGGTGGTTTTGTTGGGTATTCTTCTGGGGGCACAAGCTGCTTGCAGAAGTTTATTTCATGAGCGCCTCACAGAGTTGTATGTATTCGGCGAAGTGTTTAGACGGCCATGGCACCCGGCAAGCAGATCCCGATCCCCCCTATGGCCCCATCCCAATTCCTGCAACAACTGAGTAACTACTGTAGGGATGGCGTTTGCGAGCCACTGCGGCGTCGCATTTTGAACTGTCTGTCGTGCGTGTGCCGAAGACCTTTGATTGGCTTACCAGATATCTTTGAAGAAGATTTCTCTGCCGGGTTCCGCGCGGACCCCAACAATGGGATTCTTGGATGAACTGGGAACCCCACCCCGACCCTACACCCTACACCCCAAAAGCTGTGAATCTTAAAACCCCAAAAGCAAAAGCAGAAACCCCGCAGTCCTAAACCGTCGAATGCGCAGACTCCAAGATACTTTTTTCTTCGGGCAACAAAAACACCACCACTACCACCAACGACAACAACAGCAACAGCAAGAGCAACAGCAACAGCGGCAACACCACCACCACCACCACCAACAACAACAACCACCACAACCACAACCACGACAACAACAACAACGATAACGACATCAACAACAACAGCAGCAACATCGACAACAACAACAACAACTTCAACAACAACAACAACAACAACAACAACAACAACAACAACAACAACAACACGAACACTGACCACCAAAACAAGAACCACAACCGCAGCGAACCCAGCAAGAACCACAACAATAATAATACCAGCAGCAGTCACAACAAGAAGAACCCCAGCATCAGCAAGAACAGTAACAGCAGCAGCAACAGCAACAGC